ATTTCTCCAATCACAAATGCAGACATGGTTTTATGTTTGCGCGATGCAACGCAATGCGTGAAAAGACAGTATAAGTCATTATAATCAGTAATTATGTCCCCTCTGGATGCAACAAATGCCTCGTTTATAATGGGTTTTCATGTTTTTGTCTCGTCACACCGGGACACGGCATCACAGTATAGTAAGTAAGGGGCGTAACATTTCCATCACATGCTTGAGGTATTCGGCCAATCACAACGCACTGGATAGCTGGCCAATCAGAGCACACCTCGCTTTTCAGACCGATGAGCTTTGTAAAAATCGACGCGCTTCAGAAAGGCGGGGCATAGAGGAGAAATAATAATGTACAGTATGTGGAAAATAATGTGTTTTTTGAACCTTAAACCGCATAAACGCATTGCATTACACCAAATACACAAAATAATGTTCTTTTTAGCAACGTCATATGACCCCTTTAAAACAGCAAGATTTTCTGCTATTTACTACTTATTGCAAATAGTAGCAATTATCTGCACCTCAGTATTGTAGTACATTATAAAACAGTACGCAATAATAATGTATTGAGTGTAAATTATCATTTTAATTCAAATTATTAAATGGATGCCACCTTATTGGGACAATAAAGCTCTCCCTACACCTACCCTATCCCTACCCGAAACTTTATTTTCAACTTGATTATTTCCTTCATTTTCATTGAAAATAAACGCCTTTCCGACGCGATATGAGATTTGAAAAGGGAGAAAAAAAAAGGTTGGCAAAAGAAGGGTTCGAACTCGGGTTGATTGCATCAAAAAGCACGCGCCTTACCATCTATTACGCCACTGAAACTGATGTTCGATGAGTGTCTTTTTTCAGTGTTGACTATTCCAATCAGACTTTGGTGGGCGGAGTTAGTGTAAATAGCCTCTGCCAACAAAGGCGGGCTATTTGCACTTAGTGTAAATAGACACTCCAATTATTTTTTGCCCATATTAGCCAATACTATTTAATTATGGCAATTTCGATGTGCACTTAAAACATTTTTACATATTGTTTTACTAAAAATTCACACAGTATTTGAGAAAATGTGTGTATTGTCCATTGATTGGGCTGCTGGTAGATTCTGTAAATGATTCACAGGAGAGCAGATACAGATCAGCGTAGCTCATATATTTGTCTGTCACTACTCTTTATTAAAGGGGTCATATGATGCGATTTCAATTTGTAATTATGTCCCCACTGGATGCAACAAATGCCTCGTTTGTAATGGGTTTTATGTTTTTGTCTCGTCACTCCGGCCGGGACACGGCATCAACAGTATGGTGAGGGGCGTAACATTTCCGTCTCACGCTTGAGGGATTCGACCAATCACAACGCATTGGATAGCTGGCCAATCAGAGCACACCTCGCTTTTTCAGACGATGAGCTTTGTAAAAATCGACGCGTTTCAAAAAGGCGGGGCATAGAGGAGAAACAATAATGTACAGTATTTGGAAAATAATGTGTTTTTTTAACTTTAAACCGCATAAACACATTTCATTACACCAAATACACCAAATAATGTTCTTTTTAGCAGCATCATATGACCCCTTTAAATAGTACTGTGAAAAGATAATGGAATAGTACTGTGGTAAAGTGAACAGAATATGATCGTGACATTGTGTAACGAGTGTCACTCACGTAAGCTCATGTCAAGAGCCAGAACATTACCAGTGCAACACCACCTGAGAGAAAGGAAATCTAAAATGATCTCTGCAGAAACCAATAAAAGTATGCACAATGCAAGCAAAAAGCTGTCAATTATGGCAGAAAAACCTGTTCTGTGCAGATGGACTGCAGAGGTATCAGAAATACCAACCTCATAAGAAAATAAAGAAGCTGAGAACCACTATTTTGATATTTTCAGCGGTTCTCCTTACAATCTACAACCCTAATTCCAGAAAAGTTGGGACGTTTTGTAAAATGCAATAAAATCAAGAATCTGTGATTTGTTAATTCTCTTTAACTTTTATTTAATTGACAAAAGTACAAAGAAAAGATTTCCAGAGTTTTCACAGACCAACGTAAATGTCTTTTGTAAATATGAACAAATTTTGATGGCTGCAACACACTCCAAAAAAGTTGGAAGAGAGGCAAAATAAAAGTGAAAAGGTTATAGAATATCCACGTTAAACGGTTTTGAAACAGTTCACAGTAAGCAGGTGAATTGGTAATAGGTCAAGGTATCATGTTTGGGTATAAAAGGAGCATCCAGATCCAGCTAGATCATGGCTCATCACTTTGTGCCAAATTTCATGAGAAAAGTGTCTAACAAATCAAAAATCACATTTCGCAATGCAAAATTGCAAAGAATTTAGCTCTTTCACCAACTACCATGCGCAATATTGTAAAAAGATTCAGGGAATCCAGAGAAATCACAGTACATGTAGGGCAAGGCAGGAAACCTCAGTTGAATGTGCATGGCCTTTGAGCCCTCAGATGGCACTGCATAAGAAACCATCATGCTGCATTAAATATAGCCACATGGGCTCAGGAGTACTTCAGAAAACTGCTGTCACTTAACACAGCCTGCTGCTGCATCAAGAAATGCAACTTGAATCTCTGTGATGCTGCCGGGTTGTCTGGGCCAGAGCTCATCTCAGATAGTCAAAAAGACGGTGGAACTGTGTGCTGTGTTCAGATGAGTCCACATTTCAAAAAATGGATTTCGAGTTCTCAGTCCCAAAGACCAAAGGGACCATCCAGACTTTCATCAGCGACAGAAGCAAAAGCAAACATCTGTCACGATATGGGAGTGCAGCAGAGCAAACGGCATGGGTGACTGGCTTATGTGCGAAGGTACTATTGACATGGAGGCATATATTGGAATTGTACAGAGAAATATACTGCCATCAATGACGTCTTTAATGGGAAGTCCATGGTTATTAGATCAAGACAATGCCAGCTCTCATTCTGCATGCGCTACAACAGCGTGGTTTCGTAGACTCAGGGTGAATGTGCTAAACTGGCCTACCTGCAGTCCAGATCTGTCTCCAATTAAAAATGTATGACCAGTCATGAAAAGGAGAATCACAGACTGCTGAGCATCTGAAGTCTTTTATCAAGCGAGATTAGACAAAAATTTAGCTTGAAAAACTTTAACACTTAGTATCCTCAATTCCCAAACAATAAAACATTGTAATTAAAAGGAAAGTTGTTGATGTGACACAGTGTTAAACATGCCTCTGTCCCAACTTTTTTGGAGTGTGTTGCAGCCATCAAAATCAAAATGTGTTTATATTTACAAAGTAAAAATTAAGTTGGTCAGTGAAAACATTGAAAATTTTTCTTTGCACTTCAGTCAATTAAATAAAGATTAAAGAGAATGAACAGATAACATATTCTTGATTTTATGGCATTTCACAAAACGTCCCAACTTTTCTGGAATTGGGGTTGTATATATTAAATGGTCAATAACAAAGTCTGAACGATTTATTAAAGCATTTGAGTGTAAGCATTACCCAAATGTAGCCTACAGGGCAGTGAGCTATCCAGATCTGTCAAGTTATCACTGATCAAGTGCCTCTTAACAAGTCACTGACCTGACAATGTCCTAGAATATTTTCTTACATAACACTTTTAAAGACATTTACATACATCTCCAAAACCAGAATTAATGACTAAGTGTACAAATGATGTTCTTTTGGATAATCAGGTACTGAATCAGCTCCTCCAGATAAAATCATAGCTGATGTCTCACATAAAAGAACAGTCACACATTTTCTGGTTTTCAGTGGCAAAGCATGATGACGCCTTAAAGAAAGCCTGTGGGCAGGAACATCTCAGGCCTTACAAAACAAGCAGTGAGAAAATCCTCGTGACAGCCTCCTCCAGCCTATCTATGTGTTCTCCTCTCATAAAAGCAGAAAGAATAAACAAGAGGGGTTGTGATAACATGTTTGTGTATATTTTGTAACTACGAGATGAGAATGCTGGGAAGCTGGTTGGTTCCAAGAGGTGTTTTACAAAACTGAAGCAAATTATTTACACATGAATGTATTCTCAACTTACAGGCTTATAACTACATCAGCGTCTTTTTGTCTATTTATGTGCATTTTCACAAATGTTTTGTTTAAATATTGATTGATTATTAGATCTTAAATATTAGTATTTACCAAGTAGATCTTGCTCCCGTCTCCTCTTCAAATGTCCCTCTCTGTCCCTCATACTGTTGAACCAATGCTCGGACACTCCAGCAGGGGTTCTCACTGTCCTCCTCGCCACTGCAGCCATGACTAAGAGCAAAAAATACAGTGAGATTAGAAACTGTAAAAAGCTGTTTCAAGTATGGATGATGTCATGGTCATGGTTTCGGTACGGTTCGGTATGTGCTATATTTCAGCATACGGCATTCGCATTGAACAAGAGTGAATGGTTTGTCCACGTTTTTTTTTTTTCATTGCTGTTGTTGTAATCATGTATTGGGAAGCCAGAATGCGCATCCATCAACAGAAACATACATTAGCTTAACTCTGTTTGTTTTACATGTTATTTATAACAAACCATATTACAGATGCCTTGTCAGATTTAAGTTGAACCGCGGTCCTAGCACGTGCCGAACCGTGTGTGGAGAACCGTATGGTTCGATTTTTTTCCGTGAACCATTCCACCCCTAGTGTATATGATGTTTTTCTTTCTGACGAATACAATCAGTTATATTTAAAAAATATCCTGACTCTTCCAAGTAGGCAGTGAATGGGGGTCGAGATTTTGCAGCCCAAAAAACTGCATCCATCCATCATAAAAAGTGCTCCACACGGCTCTGGGGGGATAATAAATGCCTTCTGCAGTGAAGCGATGCGTTTGTGTAAGAAATATCCATATTTAAAACTTTATAAACAGTAATCTCTAGCTTCCACTAACTGTTGTATGAGAGAGTGGTGTTCCAGCGGATGATGTAGGATGTAGGTGTAGTGAGAATATGCTAGTGAGTAAATCATGGGGTAATAATTTTCATTTTTGGGTGAACTATCCATATAAAATGAGAAGGAGATTTAAGAACAGCTACTCTATGGAAGCAATTCTACCTAAATGAATAGACATTTACAAAATTATTTTGAAGGAGGAGAACGAGGTAAAGGGAAGAACGAAGCTACATGTACCTCCATTCTTGCCTTAGATGAAAAACAGAGCGGCCAGGCCGAGAGGCATCCTGCCTGGCTGCTGCCAGTGCTGCTGCTGCATTTTGGGCCATGGCCATGGTGGAATGAGGTCTGTGATTGGCCGAGGAGCCAGTGGAACTCCTGCCTACGCCAGCTCCAGCTCTGTGACTGGCTGATGCGGAGGGTTTAAAATGTGCAGCTAGAGCGAGTATGAGCCTCATGGCAGATTTGAGGTTCCCCTCCACAATGTCTTTGAGTACAGAGAGAAAGAAGAGATCTTAAATAAGCAGTTTTATCAGCTTAACCATGATTAAGAGCCTGCTTTATAACTCACCCCTGGCAGATGTCTGTGGCATTCTGATCCGTTTGGATGATACAAACTGCAGAATCTTCTCCACATTCTGCTTCCTCTCCTGGTCATCACGGGGCACATAATGAATGCCATCCAGCAGCTCACCAGCTTGCCAAATATATAAAACACATCTCAATACAATGGCCTATTATACAGTCCTGCAATAAAAATGGAATATGATGTACAGGCTTACCCACTATCTCAATGAGGTGTGCTAGAACCACACCATCTCTGAGATCCTGCCGTAGATCACTCACAGGTTTCAGTCCAGGCTTCTTTCTCAGCTGTGCATTAACCCAAGACACATAGGCAGCCAGTTGCTGCTAGAAAGACAAACATTTAATCAGGTAAGTGCAAACTTGGTTATAGTCTACAGCTCAAGAGCAGATTGTACTTCTGTTTTTTTTGCATGCTTTTATTTATTTTACTGCTTTTATGCTATATTTTACCATGGTTGCTTTTATTTGGTCCAAAAAAATAAAAATTACATTTTAAAATAACTGCTTTCTATTTAAATATATTTTAAAGGGGTCATAAGATGCTGCTAAAAAGAACATTATTTTGTGTATTTGGTGTAATGAAATGTGTTTATGCGGTTTAAGGTTCA